GGTGTTTGAATGATTGCAACAGCAAAAGTTGGGTTTTTGTGTACTATAAATTCTCGACTTGGGTGTATGAAATATGTGTACTTTTTCATGATAACGTGGCTTAATAAATTTATATTTCATACAAATATCGGGTCTGGCCAAGGTTCTAAAATTATTGATTGCAGAATTTCTTGTACCTCTTAAAGCTCCAGTCTGAAAGGGGAAGCTGAGAACATCCGAAATTCCAACTATGTGGTGTGGATCTTGGTTATGAACTTGGGTCTTGTATAGTATGTATGCCAAAGTTTTACCAAAGAGATTCTAATGTTGAAGGACAGGCAGTCAGACATGGGTGCCGACAATATACATAGATTGGAATCTGCTGCACATTTCATGGTAATTTAAAGGGGATGTAAAGAGGTTTACTAAATCTTTTTAAGTGTATTTGCACTATTCCAATTACTGGTTTTTTCTGTAGTTCCACTTAAACTTAGTGTTTGATGACGTCACTTGAGGCCCTTTGCGATTAATGACGTTATCAAACACATAGTTCTAGTGGAATTGCAGGAACCACACAGACGTCTGGTCGAAAATTGGAATGGTGCAAAAAGCAAAATTTAGAAAAAATCAAATGACAACACCAACATCAAAGTCCATTTGATTATTCCTCTATTTAAATATCATGAAACCCAAATAGATAGGTTAATATTCAAAATGTTTTGCACTATAAAATGAGCTATAGTGTTACAAACAATATGTATGCAATAACTGAAACAAATGAGTACGGACTAATCGAAGGGTATTACATTTAGGTGATCTCGACAAGTTTTTTTTGTAACATTATGTCTACCATTTCCTATCAATGTTTATATAAGTATTCTTGCCAAATTATCAGTACCCTGGCTCTTGGAGATCTAGCATATCTGCGTGCATCTATTACCATAACACATGGGATAATACTAGACCATCTGATGAATACGACAGATGCTCAATTAGTCTAAGAAAAATGGTATACAGTGGAAATAAGTAATAATTACATATGTTAACATCAACAAGTGACGTATTGTTATCAAACGGAAATATTGTTGTCGTCTGCTGTAGATTTTGGTACTTAAAAGATAGCTAATTTTATTACGGTGGAAGATTAAAAACATACTTATGTTCCTTTTGGCAGGTTAAATATAATAAATAACACATTTCTTGTAACATTTGAATTTCTCAATGATTTCTATTTAGCCTTCAAAGTCAACACTCTTGTTTGTATACGATGGAAATTCTTTAAGGAGATTAAATGCATACACTAACAAATCCATTTATTGCTTCATCTTTTAAGGTACCTGGAACTAACTGAGTATTTAGTGAGTGATTGATGTTTATGAAAACAATAATCAGAAACCTTATTCCGATTCATTAATTTTATTTGAAAGTTTAACCGGAATTTTTTTTCATCAGATACTAGTAATTGTTACTACCAGCATTGTTTTTAACCTAGGTTCTCTAATGCCCATTTGCCTCGCATCAACCTTCTTTTATTTACGTAGTAGTACTTATCAATGTGGTATAATGGAGGAAATGTTACCAATTGAATATTTAGTCTAACGGAAGTATCGGGGCACAATGTCTTAAAGATAGTCGGTCAAGATATTTTACATAACCTAGTTTTAATCAGATATTATCTTGACCGCACTACACTGACTGCGCTTATAACGGACAGCCAACATGTTGCAGGTATGTTAGCCATCTTAATTTTACTATTATGGTCTTGTATTTTGTTTAGTTGATTTGTAGGGTTTCATAACCATGAAACATATTTTTTTCTCATCAAACGGAATTGCGTTGAATATCGAAATTGTTCATATACGTCTACCAGACGATTCTTTCTTATAAAGATTCCCTTTAAGAAAAAATGTTAAAAACGTCTCGTTAAAATGAGTTTCAGACGATGGCTCACTTACCTAGAATGAGGTTCGATACCGTAAGAGGCCAAAAGTACCTATTTTTCAATGTTGATTCTCTTGTTAGCGTTATAGCCTCCAAGACGGTCACTGTTCGGCGTTACTTTGAGTTTCAGACGATTGCTCACTAACCTAAAGAACGGATTTGGATACCATCTTAGGAAAATAACTCTTAGAGTTTCATTTGGTATCCCCTTGTCAACCAAGTCTCAGAGAAGGTTAATTGTCTGTATGTAGATTGTAGAAGTGAGTCACATGGAAAACCGAAATGAAATGAATGGAGTTTTACGTCCTACTTATCTGCACCATGTGACCTTATGAAGATTGACGACGCCCGAAGGTATTATCTCGACCTATGCCGGGATTGGACCCTAGATCGTCAGGTTAGCGAGCATAAGGAAAACCGAGTGTTCACATAAGAATTTGTATTTTATCAGTAGTTGACGGTAGAAAAAATGGAAAGGAATTTCTGTCGTTGTCCTGAAAAAAATGTATTGTCTTATATAGCACGGAATCTCCTGTTAATATACCAAATTGCTAAAAAGATAAATCTAAACATGTGGTTGTTTCTAAGTTACTACGATTGTTTTTATGCAATGTTAAATATCACTCAGATATAAATTATTCAGCCAATATTTATATAATGGTTTGACGACCTTGTGCCTGGCACAATTCACATCTGGTTCAAATGAAGTTGTCTAGTCGATGAACTTGTACCAGATGACTTAGGTAGCTGTTTGATATTCACCAGATACACTCTCCAACCCTGACCTTTGGCGTCAAATTCTTGAACTATGTTGCTTTTTTTAGACAAAGATAGCATGTAGCTATGTAAAATTGTCTGAATATCAGTTTTGGAGAATAAAATCCTGTATTATAGTCGTGAATTAAAAAACAAACAACAACAAAATGGTTAAAATGAAAAAAAGTATGAAATGAAATGAATGGAGTTTTACGTCCTACTTTTCTGCGGGATGCAATGAGGGAAAGTTTTGCCAGGACAGCGGTATTAGCCTGCTCTTTTCGATGTTAGCCACTCTTACCTGCGTCACTGACAAGGGGAAAACGGGTTGAAAATTCCGAAAGTATTATCTCGACCTTTTCGGGATTGAACCCTTGGCCTTCAGGTTAGCGATCAAGCGTCTAACTCCTGAAGATGAAGTCATGGAACTTAATTATTATCTAAGAACAACATTGAGGATAATTTTTAATATATAAATACATAAAATATAAGAAATAATTATACAAACATCTATGCTAAAGACGATCTTCTACGTTGATACCTTGGACATATTCTTTCGTTTATCTCTTTTGTCGAAATAATGATTGTACATATTCCGAGGATGCGCTTGCCTCGTGCTATAGCATAAACCACGCTGATGAAGTATCTAGATAATTCTTCATTTTTAAACTGTCCACATTCTATTTTAATGGTGGTACATACACACACACACCCTAATGAAAAGATGTGGAGATTAATGTGTGCCTTGTGCAATGAGGGACTTTTTGCTAGTACTTGGTTCTTTACCTGACCCTTTCGACCAGAAGGAAACTAAATCGTAGGTTGAATATGAATACAAATTTACTACAGAGACATAGGAAATTCTAAATAAGAGATTCAGGATCAATGAGAATCGGTGGGATAAGCATCAAGTCAAATATCTAAAAGCTAAAATACATAATATATAAGTTTCGTATTATTATATACTATTGAATTTACTTATACACTTAAACTGAAAAATTAGCTAAAGTTAAAACATAAATGATTTATTATGTTGTTTAAAACTTTTTTTTTCTATAATGGATGCAATAGTGCGAATCTAAGTTGACAATAAGTGGTATTAGGATTTGGAGAGGTATTTTAGTTCATGGTTAAAGGGACAGATTTGCCATTTTCTGGGGTTGATATGGGCCTAGACTATATAATATAATGGCTTCAAAAAATAATTTCACTGTCTATTTCGATATGTATTTTCTATATATGACAGGGTCTTAAGAAACTTTCAAATGCGGTATTTGAAGGCCCAAATGTCGACGGTAATTCCATTTCTAAGGTACGATTGGTCCACAAAATGGCGAATCTGTCCCTTCGAGAAATGTCATGAAATTACTGCAAACAAAACGTTACACATCTACAACAATGTAGCAAAATATTTAAAAGAAATTCTGTTTTTATATGTACACTTTGACAAGAAGCAACATTAAGGCTTTATTTTCAAAATGCATGCCGACGTCTCTTCTGCTACAATTCAACAAAAATCCACTGCGCCAATTTCATCTACCGAAAACGCCATAATATTAACGATAATAACCACGCGTGAGAAGGAAAATTTTATTCCGCTTTGGATGTGACGACAGAATAAGCAAGTAACTAGCTGATATAAATTTATATAAGAATATCATTCGAGGCAAATAACAGGTCCAATAGATATCTGGGCGTATTCAAAAGTTCGATCTGAAATAAAAGAGTTAAAATGATTATATACTCTATCGATAATATTTTATTCGCAAGATTTATCTTTCCACACGGATAGTTCATTGTAAATGGAAACTATGATGTTGAATTACATCCGCTGAATTGATATTGCTTTTTAAAAATGTCATATTGTCTGAACATATTAATTGGTAATGGATATGCAATAACTAACTAAAGTGAAATAAGCCTATGAGGATTTAAACTGTAAAAAAAAAACAAGTATGGTTTGTCAAAGCTTTTACAAAATACGCATAGGAAATTCACGACAAAAGTCTTCTAGATTTACTGCTTCTATGTGCTGCAATATGAACTATTGTCGTTTAGTGTCTGTCCTGTGAAGCGTTTCAGGACCACCTTGTCTTGGTAGACTTTAATTAGAATCTTTTTCCAGAACGCTTGCCTTTTTAGAATACACAAAATTCACCCGTCCCGTACCGAGAACCGTCTCTAATGATTTCTAACCTGTGAGTTGACATATCATGGTACTGGAATTAAACTTGAAGTATAATTAAAAATTGATAAAGCAAAACACTCATCACGGAATCCTGGGTAGAAAGCACATTTTTCTCGATTTTATTCAGTGACAAGATTCAAAATAAACATGTCTTACCTGTATCTCCAACAGCCATTCCCAGAACTGGTAAATCGTGCTTATTAGTGACTTCTCCTGTATCTTTATTACTTGTTTTATCATTAATATCGCAATTACACTTTTTTTCGCTCTTGGAACAGGTATTGGTCAAGCCACATGAGCAGCCTGCATAGTTTACGTCATTACCAACAAAATAATATGATAGAGCATTTCTTCTGTTTATCCATGCCATACTCCCTACTATAACAGAGTGATGACAAATCACGGTTATCATTTGTTTACACGATCTTGAACGATCTATCAACTTTGTTATAGCTCCCATATTTGCCTTGTATGTGACAAGTAACCTTTGACTATACGGTAACCTGTAACCATTTGCTTTAAGATCTCCGCTATCATGACCTGAAGATAAAATCAAAATCGGAAGTGAAAAGGATTGAAAAGGAGAAGCATTTCCCAGATTCAAAATTATGTTACATGTTTATGTATCCTATTCCTTTTGTATTGAGATTTATCCATTTTCGTCAACTCTGTAGTGGATGTATATGGACATTATCGAATGTCTTTTAATGTAGTAACACTTACCCAATGAGACCTGAAACTCATCAGATTCTGTCAGCTTTTGACATTTTACAGTTATCGGAGGTAGATCACCATTTGTTCCATCCAAATCCACATCGATATCTGAATTAAGATCCATATGCCTTGAATGTGCATCTCTACAATCAACTGAAATCAGAGAAAACATGAACTTAATAAGGGTCTTATTGAAACAATAGAATCGAACAGGGACAGCAATGGGCAAACGATTCGCCCCTTCGTACGCAAACCTTTTCATGGCAGAGTGGGAACGTGAGGTGTTGCCCCTCTGTCCATTTGACCCACTTTTTTACGGACGCTTTTTGGATGACATTTTTATGGTTTGGACTTATTCTATCGAACAGTTTTGGGAATTCTTTGAAATTCTCAACAACCACCATCCTTCTATCAAACTAACCGCAAACGTGAGTGACAAAAGCATAGACTTTCTCGATACCACAGTCTTTAAGGGAGATTCCATAGCAGAAACAAATAAACTGGATATTAAAGTGTATTTCAAAGAAACTGATACTCATCAACTCTTGCACAAGAGCTCCTTTCACCCAAAACATACCTTTTCTGGTATAATTAAGTCACAAGTTTTACGATTTCATCGAATTTGTACAAGATCTTCTGATTTCAACCAAGCCTGTACGATTGTTTTCTCAAAACTAAAAGAGCGTGGGTACTCTAAACGATTTTTACGAAACATAAAAAATTCCACCTTAGCACAGATAGCAGCTAAAAACAGACTTTATGCCGAAGTACCTCCAGGTTTAAGAAGTGCTCCATGTTTGTCCAGTAGATGCAAAACATGTCCCTTTATATCAGAAACTCATTATTTTGTAAGCAACTCTACGAATAAAAGGTACCCGATCCAGGAACATCTAACATGTGAACATTCGAATGTAATATATTTAATTTCATGCAAGAAATGCCCCAAACAATATGTAGGAGAAACTAAGAATAATTTACGAACTCGCTTTAATGCTCATAGGTCAGACATCAAATTAAAGAAAGACAAGCCTGTTTCTAATCATTTCAACCTCGACGACCATTCAATAGACGATCTCACCCTAATCCCAATTGAGCGTATAGAAATTGACTTGCCCGAAGATGAAACTACCAAATTCCGTCAATCTAGGGAGGCCCATTGGATTGAGACATTGAATACAGCAAGACCTATAGGACTAAATATTCATCATAATGTAGGCATAGCACCCTTTGTTGTCCCGTTTAATACAACCAGCAATCGAGCAAGCAAGATAGTTCATGCCCACTATAAGAGCCTTCAAGAGAAATTCCCCCATGTCTATAAGCAGAAAATGATAGTTGCATATTCAAAAAATAAGAACTTAAATGATAATACTGTTCATAGTAAACTAAAAACAATCAGTACATAACAGATACTATACTTCTCGCCCATCGGGCGAGTTATTTTTTCTAATTTCAGATCAGAATAAGAACAGAAGAAAACCCAATATCAAGACCCTTAATCCTAATTTCTAAATAAAGTGTCTGCTCCACCCTAGGCCTGTACATTTGGGAGAATCAAACCCTCCCTTCCCCGAAATCTAGTTTACATACTATCCAGATTTCTGTTTCTAACTCTCTTTCGATTAATGCTACGTTTACAGTATGTATGGCCACGGAAATGTATTGCGCCATGGGATATTGGTCATTTTCCAAGTTTTGTTAGGTCGTGCTAAGTTTCCTCACGGTTTATACGGTTCAGACCGTTTCTGAACCCCCCGCAATGCTCCGGTCTGCAAAGCGACACACATCGTAATTGAAACGTACCAAAATGGATAACGTTTACCCTAACTTGTCGTGAGAACTGTGACAAAACGGGACACAACGTGGATAGGAACTTCAGATGCCGGTGAATACATACGATTTCCGTCCCACTACGGACTACTGCCACGTTTGATCATTTTTACTACGGCCTATTACGTTTTTCATCCGTATCGAGACTGCAGTGGCAAATATTTTGAGAGTTTAAAATTTTGGTTGGGCATCCACGGCAATGACGGTCTGTCACGTTTGTCGCTCGGTGTGCGCTTGCCTTAAACATATTTGTGTGACAGGACCATTTTCGAAAATAGCTGGTTATTGGACGCCGTTTCAGAAAATCATTAAAGTTATACAGTTTCGCCATGTTTTTAACTTTTAACAGGAAATATTGGGTTCAGCGGATAATAAAAAAAAAATTATTGCCGATTGAACTGGGGCAAAATGGCATTCTTACCTGGCAGAGAGCAATCAAAGTCGGACCACTGACCATTACTCTGACATACAGCTGCTTTCGAACTAAGTCCTCGTGTAACACAAGGATCATCTATTGAATCGTTGATATTCCACAATGGTTTAGAACGAAATAGGTTAACGTTAAGAAATTGAGCATCTTCCATTGTAGGGACATCGGTACATCCAATGATTTCACAAATCGCCCGCTTTTTAGAATTAACCACACATTTTGAATTTTGGGCACATATTTTGTTAAAACATGGACCCGCGATTCTCTCTGCCGGCCATGTACTTTTCATAGTAGTGATAGCTCCGGTATAAGCGTGTAGAGAGTTATCATCTCCAGCCAGTAATGTACACTTACTGTTTATAAAATTAATGGATGTACACAATGAATATTGCAGGCAGCTCTCCATACACTGCATAATCCCTGTCTCACCAATATCCAAAAGTTTCGTTGCATTGCTTTTCTTGCCGATTTCAATAATGTCTTTTAATTGCGTTAGATCTGTACAAAACTGAGCGCTAACGATCGCTATTTTGACGATAAGGGAGAAAATTTGCTGCATTGTTTTTTGATCAGTTAAGCGAAATTGAAAACAAATCTTGGAGAAAATCTTCTTTTAAAACAAACAAATTTCATTTGAAATGCATCAGTAAAGCAGCCATTTAGCTTTGAAATTTTTGTAATCAAGAATACTTATAGCTTCTATTTGCTTCAATTTGACTTGCGTGGCATTCATGATTAAATTATAACACCATTATCACAAATGTTATGCGAGCGATGGTTAATTCCCATTTTGCCGCCTATTATTCCCATTTCGCCGCTTCCCATTTCGCCACGTCCCATTTTGTCCCTTCCCGATTCGTCCCGTTTTATTTTGATTGTCATTATTAAAAGACACATAACTCGCTGCATTATCTAGCTTAAAAATTTTGTTAAATAAAACAAATTTTCAAAACTATAACGAAATAATATTACACTATATTATAATATTGTAATTTGGATTTCTAACTAGATAACGAAATATTTTAAAAAAATGGTTTTGGAGACCATAAAATGTCAATAATCTATACCACCATATTTACCTCAAGATTTCTTATGAAATCCAGAAATTTAGCCGTGTCATAGGTGCGGACATCTTATAGAATTTCTTAAATTGTATACATCATTCTGTTTAATTATTTCTTTCTTTACAGGTCAGCATATGTATGGCTTTCTTGATGGTGCTGTCTTTTGCCGAACTATCAAAAGGTAACTTTCTTTATTTTAATGTAACAAGATGGAACCTATAAAACATTGGCGTCAATGTAATATAATATTTATTCTCTTTGTAAAGGGCGTCGTGCCCATCGGTTGCACTTAACTATACTTATATTATGTCTGACTATGGCGTCAAATCTCTTTGATGTTGCAGGTTGATTATAATCAATAACTAGATCTGTTTGACACAGATCTGTTAGCTTCCAAGCTAATTTACGTCCTCTGCATTTATATTTCGTAAAACATGAATGGGAATAGACTGTCAATGTTTGAAAACTATTTTTAATGGGATATTTTTAACATGACCTACAAAGGTGTGAAATTAAGACCATGACTTTATGACCTGATACTTTTTGTAAAATCTATATCTTGTCTAATTAGAGTGCAACTTAATTCTAAAAATTTTGTTACATTCGTTTATACATATAATATTTATATTATATATATATATATATTGTTATAAAGCTGTGAGATTGTACATTAGTATTCTGTTTGAAAAAATTTCGCTAAGTTAATTAGAACTCAATTACAAGGGTTCTTATAAAAATTAAAATCATCTTTTTTCAATAATGCATATTTCTGAAAGTTGAAGGCTTTCATCTTAAATAAAGACATCTTTAGAAAGCTGGTGACATGCACACTGAAATTACATCACAGTGAATGTTGTCAAAGCCAATGTTCATGCGGTATAATCTCCCGAAGATACAAAAATTTTGCAAATTACCCCTTGTCACAGCCCAATAAGGCAATTGGTAAAAAAACTCGCCCTCGAACATAATCCTGTACATCACATCTACTTGTAAATTGTTTTTTCACAGCGATCACTTTGAGGAAATGACTTAGGTTGTAAAGTTTGGTTATTTTTGACATACTTTCATTTTATGGTTTCTTTTCTGTCTAGATGTGGATACTAGAATTCAATGAAGTACAAAAGTATGGAGGACAATTCATCATATTTTAGGACAATGGGTTAACCGAATTCCATGGAGCAGGGTGGGGATTTGTACCCCTAGAAAAAATAATTTGCACCCTTATATTATACTCACTGAATTTTTAACAAAATTACGAATATGACTTTTATACTTTTTTGGTGTTTATGTGTCAAAATATACCACATCAATTCAATTTTCGAAAATTTTCTTGAGAGAACCCACTTAGGCGTTCCACGAGGGGATTGCTTTAACCAATCAAATTTATGACCTCTCCAGCGCTGGTATTTTGTAAGAGAGTAAAGGAATTTGATCGGTTAAAGCGGGGGTATTAGGTAAGGTGAAAAGGTTACGTATGTTCACAATACCCGTGACATAGCGGTATAAAAAATAAAAGCTAATAAAAACGTAATGAATGTTTGGTTTAATTGTAATTAGACTACACTGAATTTAGCCCTATCACATACAGTGCGGTACCTCTGACACAATATTTATTTTTTCAGGAAGTGGTATGTCAGGAGGAAATTATAATCCTGGTGACTCGTCAGCTTCCTCATCTTTTGGTGGATCAAAACAGCGATCATCAGATGGCTTCCACACATCTTCTTCTTATTCGTCCCATTCAAGCTCGTTTCAGTCGGCTTCTGGTACTTCACACGGTACTGATGCAATTGCTTCAGATCTTCTAACTGAGAAGTCATTTCTTAATAAGGCGGAAGCACAGCCAGCCGATGAAAGAACAGTTGAAAACAGACGCCAAATCTCTGACGAAACTAGAAGAGTAACTAGGCCACCTACTAGAATACGTATGTTATTGTTATATTTACCTATATAAAGTTACCTTCTCAATTTTCATCTCTGCTGATCTATCAGCTTTTATTTACATGTACTTAGACAATTTGACAGTTAACAAAATTTTGGAAATGAACACGATCAATATAAGATTACAAATTGCTCTGAAAATGAAAACGACTGTTTGTTAAGTGGGCTATGGAGGTAATGATTCTCCTACCTAACATGGCTTATTTTGTTTTTTGGGTTTTTTTTCAGAATGCAAGTCTTGTGAGTTAAATGGTCAGACGTATAAAGGTCATTCCCGCTTTGAATACAGAGAAGGGTGTATAAATCACAGATGTATTTGCCACTGCGACGGCTCATATAATTGTCCACCAACTAGTTCGACAGATATGTGCGAGCGAGAAAATTTAGAAAACCCAAACTGTGGAACTTGCAGTGTACAAGAGAGAGAAATCAAGGGAAATTCTTATTTTGACATGAAGGAAGACTGCACCTTGTTCAAAAATTGTATTTGTAGATGCAATGGATCATATGAATGTTCGGGTCAAAGAGCAGAAAATTTATGTCCATCCGAAATAGACCCGACGGATCCTCCATACGTTGAAATGCCAACAGACCTTGATGATACAGACGAAGAAGATCCTCCACAGCAATGCCAACGATGTTATGCTCATGGTCGATACCACGACGGTAATACAAGATTTACACATCTAGATGACTGCATTGAGTATGATTGTGATTGTTTCTGTAGCGGAGAGTGGGAATGTCCAGCAGAAAGAGCTCAAAATATTTGCGATTTCGACGATGAACAACCATCAACGTGTAATGAATGTGAAGTTAATGGAGAGTTTTTCGACGGAAATTCTTATTTTAAAAGACAAAATGGCTGCACTGAGTATACATGTAATTGCCATTGTGACGGCACATACGACTGTCCAATTAACTTGGCTAAGGACATATGTGAATCAAACCAGACTAAAACCTGCTCACAATGTGAAGTCAGCGAAACAGAAACTTATCCCGGTGAATCGGATTTTGTAATAAGGAAAGAATGTATTCAATATCAATGCAGGTGCAACTGTAACGGCTCGTGGAATTGTCCCGGAAGTGAAGCTAGAAATGTGTGTAAAGGTGAACAATTAGGTGGTTGTAGGAACTGTGAGATAAGTCAAAATGAATATTATCAAGGGGATACAAATTTTAATCTCACAAAAGGTTGCATTGGATATTCCTGTAAATGTTTCTGCAATGGAAGCTGGAGTTGTCCTGGAGAAGATGCTAGAGATACGTGTAAAGGTGAGGTGATCGGAGGCTGTAAGAGTTGTACTCTATCAGATCGCGAATACTACCCTGGTGAAACGGATTTCGAGATGAAAAGAGGTTGTATTTTGTACCAGTGTCGATGCAATTGTGATGGTGGGTGGAATTGTCCTGGCTTTAAAGCAAAGGACGTTTGCAAGAATCCAGACTCAGAAACGACCTACACAAAACAAACGTGCAGTCCATGTCGGATTTCCCGTGGTGAAATTCATCAGCCAAATACTTACTTTGACATGGAAAGAGGATGCTACCAATATAATTGTACATGTAATTGTGATGGATCTCATTCGTGTCCACAATCACCGACAAAAAATATTTGTGATGTATCACCGGATCAGACAAACGAATTTCGGGAGCGCCAAGAACGTGAGTTCCAACGACAAAGACAACGGGAGCAAGAACGTATGCGGCAGGAGCAACAACGTCTGGCATTTGAAAGACAAAGACAACGAGAAGAGGCCATTAGAAATGCTAGACAACGCTCTAGATTCGAAACTACTCAAACCGACAATACTCAGGACATCGAACGACGAAGGGAAAGGGCCAGGAGACTACGAGAGCGCACAGAGTATGAGAGGAGTAGAAAAACCAGGGTCGAAGCAGGGGCCGTTGAAAGTAACAGGAGGGTTGAAGCTACAAACAACCGAAGAGTTGACGCTATAGGCAATAGGAGGGTTGAAACTACCAACAACAGAAGAGCTGAAACTACAAACAATAGGAGAGGTGAAGCTACATACAACGGAAGGGCTGAAACTACTAACAATAGGAGAGTTGAAACTACTAACTATAGGAGAGGTGAAGCTACATACAACGGAAGAGCTGAAACTACTAACAATAGGAGAACTGAAACTACCAACAACAGAAGAGCTGGAACTTCAAACAATAGGAGAGTTGAAACTACCAACACGGAAAGACAGGCGAATAGAAACGAAAAAAATGGGACATTTATACCCGAATACACCCAACCGTGTCTTAAATGCAGCTTCGCGGGGAAAACACATCCTGGGAATACTAGATTCGAATACACCCGGGGATGTTATACATATAACTGTTCCTGTGATTGCAACGGACGATGGAATTGTGATAGAGACAATGTAGTTTATACTTGCAACAGAACAAGGAATAATCCTGTCAGACAAGTTTCCCCGCAGCCACGAAGAGAGACGCCAACTTATCGTGTGACTTCAAACCGTCAAGCAAACTCTAGAGTTTCGAATGCGGCAGCACTTTCAAACCCTGACACCAGTTCTCAACAGAATGCACAATCAACACGAAGAACATACCCTGTATATCATGCGTCACAACCTCGCAACGTTCCGCTCAAAAATTATGGAACGAGTAATGTCAGATATTCACAGCAGACTGTATTGAAGACCAACCCAGCCGCAACAGACATATTGAGAAACAATCGTAAAATAGACGGTAGCGCTAACCATAATGAACAAACAGTAAGTGCTACAAGATACGAACAACAAAGCAGTAACGGTGCAAGCCATCTAGGAAAGGGAACACATTCAATGCATACCTCTACTCATCACAGTTACAGACAAACCAACCCATTCTTAAGATACACTCAACCAATAGGTCTTCCGGGATATCGAATCGTTCCACAACCAGGCAGTCCAGACTTTCGTCCTCTACCTCCTTTACCAGGCTATCGCACACAGACTCATTCGTCAAGCTTTGCAAAGTACCCGATTAATCCTTCGACTCATAATTTGGGATCTAGACAAATAATACCATCAAATGTACCATCAATTAAAACTCCTACCTACCCAGTAGGGGGAGTTGGTGTCTCTTATCCTCCAGGCACGGATGAAACAACCAACTTGGACTCATGCCAAAGATGTTTAGCAGATGGTAAATACTACAGTGTAAATGACAAATTTGATATGAATAGAAATTGTGTAATCTATAAATGCCGATGTATGTGTAATGGGAATTACAGGTGTGCTATTACCCCAAATCCAACTTGTCAGTCAGGAACAGTAGACAAGAAATGTGGAAATTGTTATGTTGGTGGTTTGGTATATCCCGGCAATATGGGATTTCAGCAGAGAAAGGGGTGCTTCGAGCTCACATGCCAATGTAAATGTGATGGAACATACGATTGCCCAGAAGAAAAGAAAGTGAACCTGTGTCCCTCAAATGGACCGGCACTGCCTACAGTCTCTAATATTCAAAGCGATTGTGCAATGTGTGACATTGAAGGACAAACTTATGCAGGCAACTCTCAATTTAAAATATATAAACAATGTTTCGTATATAACTGTAACTGTGACTGTAAAGGAGAATGGAAATGTTCAGGCGAACATGCTTCTGGGTGTATTTCTGCAAATGGAGCAGTTACTGTTGGCTACCCTGATTTAAAAAAATCTGGAAGTTGCACCAAATGTGTTGTTCACGACGAGTCATACTCTCCAAATACCAACTTTACTTTGACTCAAGGATGCTCACAGTACAACTGTCTCTGTAATTGCGATGGTAATTGGTATTGTCCCTCACAATCCCCACGGGTAACTTGTGATGCAAGAGCCATACAAAGAAAGGAAAGTAGTTGTCAGTCTTGCGACGTCAGAGGAACAATCTACCCAGCAGATGCCACATTTGTGCTTCGTGAAGGTTGTCACCAACATACGTGTACTTGTAACTGTGACGGAACATGGAGATGCCCGTACAACTCAACTATTAATGTTTGCGAAACTCGACGAGACTCCAGCGAGAGTGGACAGGGCGTCTGCAAGAGCTGTGATGTCAATGGAAAGAAATATATGACCAACTCAAAGTTCAAGTTCCGCGAAGGTTGCGCGCTATACAGTTGTCAATGTTTCTGTAATGGATCTTGGGAATGTCCGTCTGAGAAGGTAGAAAACATGTGTAGAGCACCAGATTATCGCATAGATGGTTGTAAGGAATGTCGTGTAAGTAACCATTCGTATCCAGGAGGAAGTCCCTTTTCATACAAGGAAGGTTGCTGGGAATTCAACTGTATGTGTGGATGTGATGGTAAATATAGCTGTCCACCTGATCGAAGTGTTGATGTATGTGAATCTGCTGGTTCCGTTTCCAGTCGCTGTAAACCATGCGTGATAGAATCCAAAGTGATCAGATCGAAGAGCTCATTTAATCTTCGTCAAGGCTGTAATGAGTATATATGCGAATGTGGTTGTGATGGTAAACTGAATTGTCCGGAAGAGAGATCTATCAATACATGCGAACTGGAAGGGAAACCTGGTATATCGAAAACGGACAAAGTAGCACAAGGTAAGATTTTTTATGAGAGAAACGCACATTGCAATTGTAAAAGTGGTAGAATTGGCAGAAAATTGCTTAATCTGTGTGAACAGCATGATAGAATGTACTGTTTAGACTTATACTATATCGATCGACAGTAATTAAAGGATAAAAATTTGATGATCTAACTTCAAAGATGCTCTGATGTATAATAATGTGTATAAGCTTAAATGGTTGATGTCATGCAAGAGATAATCTTAGAGGGATTGTAAAGAGACTAGTGTAGCGGGACACATCGATTTCCACTATTTCAATTGTCAGTATTATCGCAAAAGCTGCTTAAAAGCGGACTAATTAAGATGATTTTAGTCATAAAACGCTCAGATTTAGTGGAATTGCAAGAACCACAGATATCTGTCTACAAAAATTGGAATGGTCCAAATCGATGCTATCGGTGTCCCCAATACACATATGAAGTTTAGAAAGCCTCTCCATAATCCCTTTAATGATCTGCCATATCATTTCAGGGTGTAAAGTTGCAAACCGCACATATTTCAGAAGAATATTTGGTTACACTGAAAATTGTCTTCAATACACATGTATTTGTTATGATAATGGTGCATGGAGATGTCCAGCTAGTAAGACTAAGAGAGTGTGCTAAAGTGCTTATGATAATTTAGCTAATATTGAAAACCTTTTAGTAATCTTTTTGAATATTTTCAACTAATGTTCTGTATATAAGTCTACGTTGTAGCATATCATTAATACTACATCAAAACTATATCATAAATTCAATGTTAATTTCCACGGTGGATAATGTTGATAATGATATCAATGCTTGTATCTGTACGATTACCAGCCAGCAGCCAGATTATTGAAATGTATTTTACCACATAAACTCTATTTTTTTAATTTCTTATAATTTTTAGTAAAGTAACATATTTTATGATGAATTAAAGGCACATATGGGATTGTTGGTAAACAGAATCCGTGCCTTGTGTATTTGCAACTGAATCGATAATTCCGCACCATGAAAGTGTATGAATTGATAATTCCGCAACATCAACACCGAAGAACAAGTAGCAAATACACTAGGCATGAATAGGACATCGTAGGCTACTTCTCTACTTTCTATGGATACGGTTTATTCTAGTCTTCATGGCGACATGGTCATACAGGAAGCATTACCATAATACTATTAAATTAATTGTTGCGTATTAGCCGAGCAATTCAGCAGTGTTATTTGTCACACTAGGGCACTTTCATAAGGCACCAAGGTCCGATGTTGTCCTATTATAGAAACTTTGACTGGAATGGACATTCACATCTTCAACTAACATATTGGTAATTGTTTATATTAATCTGGTGTACTTCACCATTAACCATTCGTCAATTAACACAAAACGACGTTTGACAATTTGAGAAACATTGTTAATATCATGCACTCTTCACGAACGTACAAATATTTTTCACTATGAAGGGAATAAAAAATGAAATAACATTCCTAAAGTTCATCTTTATTCAAATTCTCATCGACTTGTATAATTATTTTACCGTTGTTCTTATTTGCTTCCATCAAACTGTGTGCCTCTGCCAGATTAGATAAAGGCATAACAGTATCTATTACAACCTGTAGTTTTCCTGATTCAAAATTAGGAAGCACCATTTTTGAAAAATTATCTATTAATTCTTTTTTGTACTGAAAATGAAAAGTTCACGTAGGCTATTATTGAACTATCGTTTTTATTGGTTCATTAAGCTAGTCTTTGAGAATTTTCTCCCTGCCAAGACAAATTTATCATATCTTTTGGTATTTATACAAAGTTAAATCATAAAAGAGTTCATAAAGACGTTAAAACTTATTTTTGCCTCTAACTGCTCTACAATACTGTCTATGAATTGAAAGTTGCAATATTTCCTAATTCCGTAAGTATCATTTATATCATCTTCACAATGTCAAACTATTACGAACTTCGAACTTATACCTGCAATTGCCACGATTCTTCTCTCACGGAATGCAGCGATTTGATAGGATACAGCCAATTAGAGCCCTAGACAGAAAGGCTGTAAAAAGTATGGTTTTGTTCACAAAAACAGGCGACCCATTAAGGGATCGAAATGAATCCCATATAAAACAATATTAAATGTCAGGTAATGAATACTGTCGCTACCACATTCGTATATCGTGTCTGAGGAACTGGTCTGGGCCACAATACTGTCGGATTTTTAATTTTAAAAGCGAGAGAATTTTATCATTTATTTGATAATTAGACTATTCAGTAAATTCCATAAGGCTGAAATTCTTCACTCGAAACATTTTAAACTGATACAAACCTGAACGGATCTTGCACGTAATGTAGTCCCAGTTATAGTTATTCTTTTTCTTAACAATTTACTCAGAAAATCGCCATTTATATTTCCTCCACCTACATCATAGATATTGATTGGTTACAAAGTGTCCACAATAGAATAAGGCGAAGACCTGTCGTTCAGGGAAGAAGACAACTTAAGTGTTCGTAGAAAAGGCATGATGTAAATTCCAATTTTTATGTAAATGTTAAATTTTTTTTTGGCAAAAAGTGAATGATGATAATGATGATGATTAGGTGAAAAGTTATTTCTGGCCACTTACCCATCAAACCATACACTATCCAACGACCGTCAACAGCAACTGCTTCGATGTTATCCTCGTAGAAAGACCCGCCGACACAATCTAATATGATATTGGCTCCTTTTCCTGGAAGTAAACAACCAGCATGTAGTTAGATAGCCGGACCGACACGATTTCTCACTTATTTCTCTTTTATTGTGGCATTGGGATTAAAATATATTTGCAAGCTAAGAACAAATTTGATGAGAATATTATATGAGAATAACCTTAGCATTGCTGCTTCTGCTGCATAAATTTCAAAGTGTTGGGCTTCCTATTATTATAGTATATTAATTAATATACTATAAGATTTACAAAAAATATTAGCTATTCACTTTCTAAAAGGGACGCTGGTATGACAAAACCAGTCGCAAAGTAGCATTAGGTGTTCGGTGATGAGTGAGCATGCACTACATCGCTATTATATCACTTGAATTATTATCTTACCAGCAGTAATTTCGATGACTTTTCCACCAAATGTTTCATTTTTATAATTAAAACCAGCAAATGCACCCAGACTTTTGGCTTTATCTAATTTTTCTTGAGTACCAGCTGTTACAAAAGGTATAGCATCCGCTAGTTTTACCAGTTGAGTTAAAGCTGTACCGACACCACTTCCACCTCCATGAATCAAGACAGTTTCACCCTTTTGTACTTTTCCTACATAACATACATTAGAATAGATCATTTTCTATGCTCATCATGGGGTAGCCTAACGGCAAACCACATAAGGAGTACCAACCCTGCGTTAAGCAAAAATGTTTCCTAACATTGTTTTCATTTGCAACTGAGTGCAGAACCAACATTAGTTAGACGTTTTGGTTCAGCATTACGCATTTGGAAGTGGTAATTAGTTCGGTGTGCTTGAATCAAAATTAAGATTGAAAACCTAAACACACCATGTTACATGGACCATGTACACTTGCTACTACATGTATAATCAATTTGTTAGCCTTCTTTTGATATGGGTCCTTTCTGATGCTAACTCAATAGTAATAAATACGATCTCACCTATAGTATGTAGTAATTGGAATGCTGTTAACCAAACCTCTGGTATAGCTGCAGCAGTAAGGAAATCTAACGATTGGGGTAATTTAAGGAATAAATCTTCATGGGCTGCTACATATTCTGCGTTCCCACCTCCTGTAACAAACAAAGTACTTGATGTAAATTCAAAATCCAGGTGAAGCGACAAAAATCAAATCAAATGGACATTAACCTCCCAATGAGAACTCAAAATAGTGAAAATAGTCCAATAAAGATCGATATTCAAATTATTTGCTAAGGTATAAGCGACGAATCTCAAATCCATCTTTCTACAGTTTAAATTAGTATGATGTGTCATTTTTCGGAAGATAACAACATTTCCATTTCCAGTTGCAATAAATGGGAATTCTAATTTTATTTCTAATACCTGGCAATAAACCCATAACGCGGTCGCCTACTTTCCATTTACCGCTATCAGTACCCAGTTGCTGTACGATTCCAACAGCTTCTAATCCTAAAATATCACTAGCACCTGGTGGTGGTGGGTAAAGACCTTTTCTCTACAAAATAACCATATCACAGACTTTTTCGAAGTTTGAATTAATATAAAATTGGCAAAAAGGCTATACATTCACACAGTAGGAATTTTCATTGCATTTTGATCCCTTTGCAAAAGCATGGTCAAAATTATTTTGTAATTACTCTAATTTTGTGTATCACTAAAAAAAAGACATGATTAAACCACATATACACATTTGAGTCAGAGGCAAAAAATGAAAAAAAGAAATTTAAGATTTTCGAATAAATGGTAAGATAAACCATTTGGCTTTAAGAGTTCCGGAATAATATTGTTATTTTAGCTCTCCCTACACAGCAACTTAATGGATTTAGAAGACGTGAAATTGTGTAAGAGATTTACCTGCAACGTATCAGCTCTGTTAATGGCTGTAGCCATAACTTTTATCAAAATTTCATTAGGTAATGGTTTAGGGACAGGAACATCATCTATGTATATACCTTCTGGTCCACCAGCTTTAAACTGAGCAGCTTTCATAATCATCTTCTAAGGAGAACCAAAAAAAGTACAAAAAAATAGCCAGCATAATAAATGAATTTGATAGATAATTTGTGTCAACGAAAAAATCGTAAACGAAGTGATAAGACGACTGTATTTGCCAGGAAATTTTATTTGGACATTTTATGCCAAAAGGAAAGGTGAAGGACACCTATACTTGTATTGTACATCAAAACAGTTGACGTATCAGCTATAGTAGGCTACGAAATTATGCAAAGGTACTCACAACACCTTAATTCAAAAATTGGATAAAACCAAAAGACATTTTCGCAAATTAAAATCGACAAATTGGTTGTGTATGTAAGTAATTCACTTCAAGATCGGGGATTGAATTAATGTGTTCTTGATTTAATTACCTCCCTTAAAGAAAAAAACACACGTTTTCAAGTGTAAGGATATTACGTTGATATTAAATACATCAATAATTCCACTCACTGGGACTGTCATACTAGCTGATGACGCGTGAATCTGTTTTACCACCAAAATTATGCAGACCGATGTACAGAAGCTGAAAAGTTCGTACCGTAGAAGACACTGCCGACTTCTTTGAATGATATTCAACATTACCGAGATAACAACATGACCTACATTCACTAATACAGGTATTAAAGGGGTGTTTACTCCATAATAAAAAAAAGTAGACCACATTTGTTGTATCCACAACGCTGATTATAACTAAAACGACTTGGTTGAAATAGACGAGATACGTCCAGTTATGTGAAAGGTGCGATGTATGGTTTTGTACGGACCCATGATTCGTCATTGGCTCAACTAGATGAGTGAAAAACCGTAGACTTAAGTGCGTTGGGTCCCTTCCTCCGGAATTTCTTTTAAACATCCTCTTCTGCTCGCTTTATTTGGGGTTGGCGCCCATATCAGGTGGGTACTCGTGGATTTGGTTCAACCAATCCTTAGTCACTGATTCGTTTAGTCCACAATTTGCTATACCCCACCAACACAATGCCTCAAAAAAATGTATATATCTCAAATTGTTTGGATGAATTCAAATGACATTATGTTTTTGTGTCAAGCTATTACAAACTGCGTATAAGAAGAAATCCCATATCAGTATTTATTCAAATGTAGAACTATCAAAACCTTATATTCCTATTGCCCCGAAGACATTCTAGGCCAAATGACTTGAAAATTGAAAACAATTGTAAAATGACCTAAAACTTGAATCAAACGATATGTGGAATAGTGGTGGAGCTCAATCCGCGTTTCAATTATTTAAAAGATTTGTAAGAATTAGTAGATTTCTTAGAAAACAACAAGTATATTATCATGCAGCTCAAAATCACCAATATCAGGATTGCAATCCCCCCGAAAAAACCACAATTTTTGAATAGGTAATCCGTTAAGGCTACAATATTTTTGTTACTGTTGAGTATGTTGAGTTATAAAGTGTAGCAATCAACTGCTTCGAGGTACAATTAAATCGTACACGTGCCTAATGTGCAATAAACTATTAAAAATAAAATTTAAATCGCGTAATTGTATTGTATTGTATTGTATTGTATTGTATTGTATTGCATTGTATTGTATTGTATTGTATTGTATTGTATTGTATTGTATTCAATAGTTTGTTTCTATCCATGTTTGAGAATTGCCTGGATTGTATTGTCGGTATGAGGAAGTATAAAAGATTTAGATCTTTATTGCTATATTTTGGAGTAGTAAATCCGGAAAAAACAGACAGTGGGCCGACAGTGGGATATCGCTGTGATCTTGGGAACGGACAGCTACGAGAATGGGTGACAGGTATATGATCCTTGTATACCTGTCCATTATGACAGCACTCTTATTTTCAGAGGTTAGTAAGTTTAAGTTATTTCATTGGTGAATAAGAATGAAATCTTTCTAGTAAAATTTCAGTCAATCAATTCAAATCACTCGTTATAGACGCTTTGTTTGCAAAAGTAAAAAAAAATGAAAGAGGCATGACATGTTTTTTAATTTGGTGTTTTGGTTACATGACTTAGACATTGGTCAGATTGAAATAGCACTCATTTAGCGCTGTTTAATTTAATACGGGTTAAGAAGACTCGTATTCGGGAAACGATGTTATTCTGTAAGCTTCCTAAAGATCCATTGACAATTGAAAAATAGACGGCTACTGTTATTATTTTGACAAAAATACCCTGCTTTGCACAACAATTGACAATCTCGAGTAGAATGTTTTGTATTTGTTACTATATTATCTCAAAGTCAAATTGAAAACCTTAAGATTCAATGTGCCCATTTTTTTCTATTGAAAATGTTGTTAATTATACCTGAAGATATTTTTTAGTTGAAACCTGAAGATTACGTAAAAGACATGTTCTCTACAATTTGGGGTTTAGGCCTTATTTGGTTAAATTTGCCCTCCTAAATTTTAAAAGACTTTGTAAACCTTTTAAACAGATTTGTCATTCCAAAATTCAAGTAAAGATTTTTTATGTATAGATTTCATAAATTTGAGCAAAATAAATTTCGAACCTACAAAAAAAAACAGACAGCCCTTTCAAATTGCATTGAATTTTGCTCAACGAATGTGAATGCAATTCACTACATTGTGCTTTGCCTTTTCATGTCCTTATAGTTTATATATTATAAAAGGGCTTACATGCAGTTAAGAACTGAATAGAATTTTACTTATTCATTGTAATCTATTTGTGTCAAAATCTAAACAGGTTTTGAAAAATGTACTTCCTTTTTCATAACACTTTAAAAATGATTTATGTATATAGGTCAATTTTTATGATTAGAATGTATTGGACCCGTGTGTGTTCAGACCTGTCATATGATTTGGTTTCTCTTTATAACTAACTTGGCACCCTTTTTGATTGTTAGCTTGCCTACTTGCATTGTAGATTTTGTGTGTATACTATTTATGTACATACTACTAGTTCGTGTATTTTACACATTATTGTAAAATGTCGTTCTAAATTCGGGGAAATAAACAGAAAATGTTCTGGTTATCGCTGCCGAACAGCATCGGAAGCTGTGTTGGCTCAGTGAGTTAGACGCTTGTTTGCTAATCTGAAGGACCATGGAGCCGACTTGTGTCGCGATTTTGTAACCTTTACCCCTGTCGGAGGGGCTGACAGGGAAAAAGCGTTTAGTCGTTTGCATGGGACAATAAACCGCAGCTCATTAACCATCAAGATCACTCCGGAAGGAAATGGATTAAAAAGTTTAGGGTCTACCTAAATGCTTTTTTTCTCTTGATCAGCTGACAGTTATTGACATAGAGCCAAAAGAAACGTTTTCTGTTTAAATAATTATCTGGCTACCCGAAATGCAAACATTTAAGATTCATTTGAATTCCATTTAAAAGCCATCAGGTGCATCCGATTCAACAAATTTGACAATTTATACACTGTCACGTTTTAATTGCAAGTAGGTGTTCATACAAACTTATGAAACTCTGATTTTGCAAATTAAAAATTATAGTACATTATTTACTATTATGATATTTGCCTTTAAATGACTGTATTATATTATTTCAGGTATCATGTAATGTTGGAGATGGTTGTATTGGAGGTAATGTTACAACATGTGGTGGTAATCCTACAGGAACAGGATATCAATGTGTCGATGATAAATGCAATTGTACTACTGACTATTATGCAGATTCAAATGGAGTTTGTACAGCAAGTAAGTCCTTCATTATGTTTTTTCAAAATGTAACCTTAATTATAGACCTGAAAAGTGATCAGTAAAACGAAATCTGATTTAAACTGAAAATTTAAATTGTTGATATATATGTTTATTTTCTGTTAATATTTAGTAGTATGAGTATTTCTAGATGAATGTATTTTTCTTTCAAAAAGATCACTCATTAAGCCTATAGGTTACAGGACAAGAGAAGTTCAATAATTTTAAGACATTAGCACACGTACAACTGTATTCCGAATAAGGTCGGTTCCTTCTGCATCGAAATGAGTTGCTGCCATTCAGGGAGTTCTCTGGCAAAAAAGGATGTCTATAAGTAAGATATCTACATGTGTAAGTAAACCTGAATGTAGGAGAGTAGGTATAGTGATAGAATCAGGAGAAATATAACACAGGCCTATCCTTTTTGTAATCAGATTTTAGGCTTTAAAGATGCAAAAACACATTGTTCAGTCAAAATGTTTAAGCGTTTAGGAAATCCATAGCAAATTCTTGAGTTCAAATATATTAATATTCTACATGTACATTTTTGTGTATTACTGACATTTAAAGCCTAAACATACTTCAAAAATGATTTAAAATCATGATTCAACACCATGTGTGAGCTATTTTGTTTGTGAGAATAATTATTAAAACACAGAGAATACTCTCAGAAAGTTGGGATCTGAACATCTTTGTAGGAAAAGGTTGTAATAAATGAGATCCATATATAACATGGTTTTCCTAGTTCCAAATGGAAATATTTTTGTGGAGAGACAAGATGCAATTGATAAAATTGATAAAATAAAAAACATTTGTTTTATTCAGTCACTCTTTTATGTGTCGCAGTAATTGTTTCATTGTCTGAAGATGGACATATACTCTTTTTGTTCAAAATTAAGCCAAATTTAAATCGTGTATTCATTTTAATGGGTAGAAAACGCTATTAAAAATGAATTATTACTTTCAATTATTAGAACAGGGACATGGGGAAGCATGTAACGATACCACAGAATGTCTTGGTAACTTGACATGTTCATCTGATACTGATAGTACTTGTGGTTGTGATGATACTCTTTATTATGATGGTAATAATACTTGTCTTCAGAGTAAGTCGGCTCAATGGTTTTATTATACTTAGAAACAAATTTAATCCTTTTAACCGAGTAGATACTAGTTTTAAGTCAGCTTGTTAACAATACATCAGGGTATCAAAAACCCAACAGACTCATGCCATTTCAGAATATTGTTTGTTATGGGATTGTTATAAACCCATAAAATTATTATTAAGTGATATATACTGTACATTCTATAAATTAAATAAATGAATTAAAAATTTTATCATTATT